TCATCGCTAATTTGTAATAGAATGATGACGTAATGTTAAAAACTGATTATATTAATTATAAACGCATCTGCTCATCTCTGTGCACTCATTGAAAAAGTTTTGTTGTTAAAATTTACTTATCTAAAATGTACATATTGTGTGACAATGAGCAGCATCTCAAAAATAATGGCATCGATGTTTTGTTTTAATGTACAACAACGAAGAGATACTTCATATCAGAGCTCTCGAATTCCACTGTGTGCAAAAAATAATGGCATTACGCGGACATATCGGAAATGGGAAACAAATCAATATAATCGTCACTTGATGTAGCAGGGATGGGGATATTTTAATCGACGTTTAATCGATCGATGTGAAAGAAGCGTGATAAATTTTGGTAGAATGGAAATAAAGACAGACAGAGAGAAAAAAAATCGCGACGAGCAGCTCGCGCGAATAATTAAGTGACAAACTCGCGAAAATGACAACTGAAATGGCAATTCGCGGTTTCCCTCAATCGGGACTCGGTTCGTGCAACTTTAAAAACTGGGTCGACGGTTCATTACAGGGCCGATTAATTCTATGCGCGTAATGAGACTTTCGCCGCAAAAAAGAGCGAAAAAAATTTACCAATTTTGGCACGTGAAATTAATATGGACATAATTCATAATGAAGCAACAATCGCGGATCGCAAACATAGGAAGAATTTTAAGATTAATCTTAAGTCAAGAAAAAATTTAATATTGATATAGCAAATATAAATATAGATATTCAAGTGACAATATAATCTTCATATAAGTTTTTTAATTTTCAGTTGAGCAAAAGTAATACTTGCATCAATACAAATTTAATCAAGTCAAGACTAATCTCGCTTATATATTTGAGAATATTTGTCTTGATTTAAAACTCATTTTTTTTGGATGTAACGTAAGAGAAATTAGTCTTAAGTTAAGATTATATATTTTCATATTTATTGCAGAAAAATTTTATTAATACAGCAATATTATAATCTTTATACAGAAGATGTTTCGTCTTGAATTAAGCAAAAATAATGCATCAAAACAAATTCAATCAAATCAAAATTAAAATTTTTAAAAAGATTATAATATTCTTGCTAATATGAGAATATTCTTCTTGATTTAAAACTAATTTTTTTGTGAACAGTGACCATACAAGTAAGCGTTAAATATGCTACTTAAATATATTATTTAAAATATGCTAAATCTAAATCGATTGTTTAATTGTAATAAAGTAATGAAAAAAATTATTTTTATCATCAATACGCTACATAAAATAAAGATTTTATAACAATATAAGTAAAGAAAATCTGAATTTTATGTATGAGATAATATAATAAGCCAATAATAGTAATAAACGCAGAAAATAAAGTAATAAGCAATAGTATAAGTAAATAAAAGAGGAGGAAGACGAATAAACATATCGGCTTTCCCGAGCGACGCGGCGGAATCGCGGAAGAGGAAAAAAAAGAAAAGAAAACAAAAAAAAAAAGAAAAAAAGAAAGAAATTCCTTTCACAGAGACAGTTATCGATGACGGTGTCGAGCGACGAGAAAGTTTCGATAAAGAGTAGCTGGCTTGCGAAATCACGCTGGCTCTCGATATTGAATATTCATGCTAGGCGCTCGCTCCGCCTCGCAATCTACTCTCTCTGTCTCCCTCATTCGCTCACCGTCGGCTTCCCTCACGCTCGAAATTGTCGGGTTTCTACGCGAAATCCTAAGGTCGCTCCCGATACTCGATACGCCCGCCGATTCGCGCGCACAGCGGTGAGCGTGTTTATCGAGGATTTCAGTGCGAAATGGGATACGTCCCCGACGATTCGTGGCGCGATTATCGAACGCGGCAGTGCGAATACTTTTTATCAAACCCGTATAGCACGTTACCTCTGGTACAACAGCCGTAAGAAAAAAAAAAAACAGTCTTTCGACACTCTCTCTCTTTTTGTCTTACGTACAACGTATGTTAATTACAAATAATTTCCTTCTTCTTCTTCTTCTTCTTCTTCTATTTTCATATAGGCTTTCGATGCCTGTTTTACTTCACAAATAATTTCCGTTGTGTTATATTAGCGTCAGGTTAGTACATACATATTGTGCCGGATATTCATTTTTGTAAATATATCTTTCGTGTTTTTATTTGTATTATGATTTTTTTGTTACCTGTAATATCAATTTGTCGTTATATCATTGGCAATAATTTATCACGTCATTTTTTTTGTTCGTCATTCGAAATGCAAAATATATTTTCTTGTTACTTTTATTATTGTTGTTACTTTTATTATTTTTTATTGCTCTTGCATAAATATAAATCTCCATCGATAAATCGCTATTGATGATATAAATATTATAAAATAAATAAATATAAATATGTAAACATCATCAAAAGTATTTTATTATAAGAAAAAGAATTCGGTTCGCAATCTCACTGACGTCTTTTATCAGCTGAGCTCCAAAAATCCTGGACAAATCCCTAGTCGACAAAGTACAGCAATGAAACCATCGTTTAGGAGTCCATCGTTTAGGAACTCGCAAAATTCGTAAAAATAACGCGGAAATTCCAGCAAAACAGAAAATTCCGATCGATAGATATTTTCCCATCAGCAAAATCCCGGATGAAAATCAAATTAATTTCATAAAAGCGATTATTTAATACTCTATGTCAAAAACATTTCGATTGAACAACGCGCATCGATAGCATCGTTTATCGGACAAAAAGTACACACGCACAGGCGGATCTGTGCTTTTACAAAATATATATATATATATATATATATGCAGTAATAAACCTGTTTATTTCTCTTAAACAAAATACGTTCATTTGCGTTGAGAGCCGCGCAGAGAAGATTATACGAGCGTGGCCTATACAACCGAAATAAATTACGCCAAAATAAATTACATCGAATTACGACGGATTTTACCGCCGTGCGGTGGCCGCGACGCACGTGGCACGTTTATCGATCGAAAGCGCAAAATACCGGCCTACTCGCGGATTAGAGCAGAATGATGCATAACGATTGACGTCCTCTTGTTAGCGAATGAGAGAGATACAGGAGAGAGAGAGAGAGAGAGAGAGAGAGAGAGAGCTAGTTAGGACTATTATATT